GGTTCTTTAGCCGTCAGAATTGTTGTCTGAAGACCAACAAGGATACCCAATGGATTTATTTTGCCAAATGGATCAACGTGGCATTGCCGTATTGGTCCATTTGATCGACCTTTGTTTTTATTATTTAAACTTTATTATTTAAGCGCGCTTGTATTCAAATGGTTTCCACATGTAATGGTCTGCCAGAGGATGTAGAGAGCCATAGCCCCGTCCCCCAGGGCATGAAGGAGGCATGGAGGAGATCCAGGCCCCAGACATCCAGAGGCCCCAGAGTGCGAGAGCCCAAGGAGGACCACCGGAGGGGCATCCGTGCCACCTTCATGGGAAGGGCTGAGGATCCCCAGACAAGGCGTCACCCAGTAGCCACCGAGCAGAAGCTAGAGGGGGCTGCACCGGCGTGCCCGCCGGCTCTGCCGGCAGCCAGCTGTGCCAGAGTGAACCAAGCCGCAGGCCCAGAGGCCAGAGGCCTGAGGGCCCCCCGCACCACTAGTTTTCTTGATCATGTCTATGGTCCAGCTTCATCAGATGCAGCGTGATACAGAGTATAAATCACACTATTCACGGATTTTGCTCCCAGTTCTTTCTCCTAGATTTCTCCCCTTTTGTGAATGAAAATAAAAAACACTTACAGTAAAAACTGCATTGTGCATTCAAACTCTGTCTCTTCTTCCGGACGGATGTGACCATGTTATCTTCTAATACAGTGGCTTGCAAAAGTATTCGCCCCCCTTGAACTTTCCCACATTTTGTCACATTACAGCCACAAACATGAATCAATTTTATTGGAATTCCACGTGAAAGACCAACACAAAGTGGTGCACACGTGAGAAGTGGAACGAAAATCATACATGATTCCAAACATTTTTTACAAATAAATAACTGAAAAGCAGGGTGTGCGTAATTATTTGCCCTAAAGGACTATTTAGCACCTCCTGGATGTCAGCTCACGAGGTTTGTGTGTTTTATTTTCTGTAATCAAGGATTTTTGATTGATTAACACTACTTACAAGAGCGCATTTTGATGTGTTTTGTTTTATTGTTTTGTCGGTGAGCAGTTCTCACTGGTTGCCAAGACCAGAATAAACCCTGTTCTATAACTACATCGTGCGTACGTCAATCCTTGAGGGTGCTACACTGTCCATAGGACAACTATTAGTCGTGCACTGCACAAAGTTGGCCTTTATGGAAGAGTGGCAAGAAGAAAGCCATTGGTAACAGAAAACCATAAGAAGTCCCGTTTGCAGTTTGCCACAAGCCAGGTGGGGGACACAGCAAACATGTGGAAGAAGGTGCTCTGGTCAGATGAGACCAAAATGGAACTTTTTGGCCAAAATGCAAAACGCCATGTGTGGCGGAAAACTAACACTGCACATCACTCTGAACACACCATCCCCACTGTCAAATATGGTGGTGGCAGCATCATGCTCTGGGGCTGCTTCTCTTCAGCAGGGACAGGAAGCTGGTCAGAGTTGATGGGAAGATGGATGGAGCCAAATACAGGGCAATCTTGGAAGAAAACCTCTTGGAGTCTGCAAAAGACTTGAGACTGGGGCGGGGTTCACCTTCCAGCAGGACAACGACCCTAAACATAAAGCCAGGGCAACAATGGAATGGTTTAAAACAAAACATATCCATGTGTTAGAATGGCCCAGTCAAAGTCCAGATCTAAATCCAATCCAGAATCTGTGGCAAGATCTGAAAACTGCTGTTCACAAACACTGCCCATCTAATCTGACTGAGCTGGAGCTGTTTTGCAAAGAAGAATGGGCAAAGATTTCAGTCTGTAGATGTGCAAAGCTGGTAGAGAGATACCCTAAAACAGCGGTCCCCAACCCCCGGGCCTCAGACCGGTACCGGTCCGTGAGTCGTTTGGTACCGGGCCGCGAGAGTTGAGGCTCAGGTGTGAAATGTATAGTTTTCAGGGTTTTTATCAGTTTTCAGCGTAATTTTGTTATCGTTTTTATCGTTTACTCGGTTTTCCTGGGTCTTTTCACGTGTGTTATGAATAAATTTTCTTTTTTTCGGTACCGGTACTAGTTTTATTTTGTTGTATTTGTTGTACACCTTAAAGGCCGGTCCATGAAAATGTTGTCGGGCATAAACCGGTCCGTGACGCAAAAAAGGTTGGAGACCGCTGCCCTAAAAGACTGGCAGCTGTAATTGCAGCAAAAGGTGGTTCTACAAAGTATTGACTCAGGGGGCTGAATAATTACGCAACTTCACGGTTTGTTGAAGACTGGCCAGTCAGTTGGCTTATCTGAACAGTCACCAGGAGGAACAATGCCACCATTTCTGTGATCTAACATCAAAGAGACCTGCTTTGGTGATAATTTATTTGAATTTCAGGAGTGAAACCACACCTCGATACACACCCTTCCAGCTCTATATATTCTCCCCCACTTCATTCACATCTTATTAGCAAATGGAGATCTACCCTTTTGCCCTTTGATTCCTTCCTCAAACCGCAACCGGCATTTCACAAAATTCAAAGTGTTTTTCAAGTGATGTCAACTCATTATAATGTTTGACAAAAATGCATAATTTTTTTCTTAAGTCAGGAATGCAGTTCCTCTTGGTGCCACTTGAGGCTGGCTGTGTCAGTCCTCAGAGAGACCCATGAACAGCTTAAGGCACTAAAAAGCATTTTCACAGCTTCTGGCATCACTGGATAGTTTCCACTCTGATAACAACTGCATGAACTTTTGAAACCCCATTCTCAGGGATACTCAAGTTAGAGGTATGGCTGCTTTGATTTGTCTGGACGCAGGTAGTTTGATCCGATTGATAACTACAAGGCCTAAAGTCCACTATTTTGAGTCAGTCAGACTTCTATTGTTGTGTCACTAGAATTATGGCTTTGAGCATTTTTAATGGACAGTCTGTCTAGAATTGTCGCTCTAAATAGTCAATATCTGTACTCGTGTTTTGTACCCACACAGCTCACTAACAAACGTTAGCTGGTATTTCAGCACGCTATCCTTTCATGTAAATGTGTTCACCGCTGGCTAAAAACAACAAAAGGTCGACTAACATTACTATATCTGTGAGTCCCACTGTGGGGCGGCTCCAAGTGGGCCATAAAAGTACTGCAGTAATGAGAGAAATTCCTTTTTAAGTTACTCCCAAATATCTTAAGTTACATATTTATATACATTATGTCCAAATTTGTATACATTTTATTTATATAAAATGTATATAATTGAATTTAAACTGGTAACAGGAGGTGGTTAGTTAGTTACTATTACTCATTACTCTGACCTAAATTTACTGAAGCTTGAGCACAGTCAGGTCACTGATGGAATCGAAAGCTCCAGAGGGGAAATCACGCCAGTCTAAAGGTAGGTGTTACCATGGCAATAACGTCTTGTTGTGAAGATGAAAGAGTCATGCAGTAGAGGAGCGGTTTATTGGCAACACCTGTTAACTGTGATTGTATCCAGTGTGCTGCAGCCATGATACCAAACAGATATAGTTCTTCAGTTAAGCTTCACAATTCATTCCTCTTGGGGGAAAAAGGAAACATAATTAGACAGACACTGCAAAATTAAAACAATTCTTTAATTACGTGACTATAACAAGTAATTAAAGAATTACGTATCCACTTAACACACGCATCCACTTAACACACTGTTTACGGCAACAGCTACACCCTTTTTGCGCATGTTCTTCCTTTTTCAGCTATTTATTAATAAGTGACCTTTATGTATATATATGCCTGTATATATTGTGCTATTCTTAGTTAGCGTATTGTCTGTCTTTGTTAATGGTTGTTTATAATGGAGCACTGTAACGAAAAAGAATTTCCCCTAGGGATCACTAAAGTATTCTGATAAATCTTCTTTGGTATTTGTATCCTTTTACACAGAGAAATCAGTTATTCAATGTGTTTTGGGGACATGCTGGCAAAGGCATTGAAATGTATTTTGTGTGCATACAAAACACTACATATATACACAGTGTTTGGGAGTAACGGAATACATGTACCGCCGTTACGTATTTAAAATACAAAATATGAGTAACTGTATTCCGTTACAGTTACCGTTTAAAAAGGTGGTATTTAGAATACAGTTACTTTGTTGAAATAAATGGATTACACTGCGGTACTTTCCTGTTTCATTTTGTCGCGGGTCAGGACTGTTTGGGTTTTGTTTGACAGCTACGTTCTGTTGTTCCAGGCGGCAGCGTTACGGTTGCCATGGTTACAGGGCGACGCTCTCTCTCTCTCTGCGACTGTGTGTTTCCTGGGTGAGAGAGAGCGCCTTTTCGTTGTTGTTGTTGTTGTGCTAAGCTAACAAGCAGAATGCTACAAGCATAGCTCTAAAAAATGTAGCATCATGGGCATTGTAGTCCGTGCTGCAGGGAGAATGGACTGCCATACACGTTATGTGTCTGTGAGTGCGAGGAGGGAGAAAAAGGGGAGTGGAAAAGTACGAGGTGTCATCGAGCAATAACGGGAGCTGGAAGCATGTAAATATAATAATAACGACTTCAGCCAAGAAGAGTGCCTGACGAGCCCAGTTGTAAGTAAGCTATTAAGACTCGACTGTACACTGTGTTCGTGTTTTCCTCCGAAAACAATAAGTTCCGTTGAAGCAGCCTTTCAACGCCTCTCTCTGTTTCTCGCAAGAAAAGTTGACCCACACAACAAAGTAAAGCTATTTTTCAGCTACGAGCCGACAGGGACCCCGCCGTAGTAGTCAGAGCTCCCTTTACTACAGTTCGGAGCCGTGGACCTTCAGTAATAGTAATAAATCACACAGCAATAGTACATTCATGTAGTTGTAAAAAGCATGATAATATATTAAGTAATCCAAAGTATTCAGAATACGTTACTGTCATTGAGTAACGTAACGGAATACGTTACAGAATACATTTTGGGGCATGCATTCTGTAATGGAATACATTTTAAAAGTAACCTTCCCAACACTGTATATACAACAATAACCCCAAGGTTCATGCACGAACCCTCAACTAAAAAACAAACAAAACTGTCACTGGAGTTCTGTTTTGGTCAAGTAACTTCGACCTTTTATTGACAAAACGAGTACAGTTAAACAATATTTCTATAAATCATTACTGGAAGACGTCCCACTTTTCATACCACAGTCATAGTTTTATTCTGAAAATACAGACTGTAAAGAATGTTACTTTAGTATTAAAACATCAGTATCTTCCTTCCACCAAAACAGACCAAGTGCCCAATCTGGAACCAGTTCCACCCTACAATAAAAGTTTTTTGTTCTGTTATATTCTGTTCTCAAACTGAAATGTGGCCTGGATCTCACTGTCCTGCACCAACACTGGACAAAGGTCAGCAGAAAAAAGTTATATAGTGTGTAAAGATGCACAGTGCTTTCTTTTTGCCTACAAGAGCAGGCCTAGTCCCAGTGAAGAGAGCGTGCTTTTGTGTTTCCTTGTCTTAACCCTGCCTAAGATGTACATGAAGGAAAGAGGTGGACTGCTCCAACAGTTGCAAGCAAGGATACACAGGTTTATCAGTGATGTTTAAAAGAAGTGTGACTAACTGTATGCAAACAATATCTTTAAAGTTGCTACATACTGCTACAGTGTGAATGGTATTACAGCAAAATATAAAATGAAATGAGAGGACTGGACGCTTCATAAAATGTGCATTAAATTATTTGCAGGTTCTGTATGTTACAAATTGACTGTAAAAATATCATCAAACTGATTATCATTATCAAACAGTGGCCTCATTTTACACACATTTTCATTAAAGGCCTTAATAAAGCTGTCCTTTGTTTACTACATATTCCGCCCTTTTCATCTTATTGAATTCATCTCTGTGGCCGGACACTGTAAGACGGGGCACAGACTGCACACAGCTGTTCCTCTGTTGAATCAACAGTGTAAGTAACCCTCCCACAAAAGAAGGTGCATTTGTATTACTTAGATAAACTTTGTGCTTTTTGTCCAACTGTCAACTTTGCATCATTTCAGCAGTGGAGTGAGGACGGTGTTGGTAATGACTCCAGCAGCGAGGATGAGGATCATGATGAGTATCGCCAGGCCGCGCCGTAACACCAGCTGTGACACTGACAGAACATCTCCCACTGTAGTGGTGTTGGTGGTTTGACTCTCTTCTGGTATTTGCATCTCCATCAATACGTGGTCCACCTCGGCGCTCTCACCACTGGATGCAATAGTACTGATTGGGGTCTGGATGAGATTAGAGTCTAGGGTTTGGAAAGAGAAGTATGAATAAGACACTGTAATAATGGGATGTTTCAGCCAGTTTGCCCACTCACCTCTATTTCCCATCTTGATCGTGTCTTTTTCTTCTTTGACGCGGACTCCCGCTCGCACTTCAGCCTGATCAGACACAACAGTCAATGACATGCTTTGATGAGTGAAAGTGTGATAAACTGTCAATAGATGCAGGTGTGCACCTCTTCAGCAGCCTTCTTCCAATTGAGTTTGCACAAAAATGTGATGAAAAAGATCGACTGCACGAACACGCAAACCGTAAGGCCTGCCCAAAATCCTACAGCAGAAAAAACAGAAGAAGAAGAGTTTTAATGGGTTGCCTGCTTGTCAGGCCGGAGGTACATTTAATTTCTGACTGCTGCACACATTTGTTCCCAATACAGCATAACCTGAAAGACTTAACATGCGGTGATTGTCGCTTTCGCATAGCGTCAGCAGTATATGCATCATTTTAATGAAAGACAATTTAAGGTAAGATTAGATAAAGAATACTGTCTAAAATGTTTCATTTAAAAGGTTAAAGATTTAATTTTTCCTATTAGTACTTTTTTTTCTTTACATCTAATGTATTTATTTTTCTATGTAATTGTAATTCTGAGCATTTTGTATTTCATGATTTTGTGTAAAACTGTAAATAATCACCGAAAGATGACAACAACAGCAAATAATATTTTCTCTTATCTTGAATATGTCACATTAATTTACTGTGAAGGAAAATAAAAGAACTTGGAATGACTTCACTGCTCTGCCACCCTCACCTACAACTCCCATTTCGGCTGCAAACATCAGGGACACGCCAGTGGGTAAGCCAATAAAGTAATACCCGATCAGGTTACACAGAGCACCAACCGACTGCTTTCCTACACCTCTGACAACTCCTCCAGTCACGCCCTGTAAACACAAACACAGATTTCTCTGAATCACATTTTATATTTTTCAGTATTAGCCTAAAATGTTGATCACTGCTGTAAAATCATTTCTTACTGCAATTGCATCACCAAGATGCAAGAAACCAAACACCAACATGATGTCAGAAACCCTCTGCAAAATATCACTAAAAAAATATGTGCAGTTAAAATACAGTCAAACACCATGAAGCATACACAAACTTGAAAAACGACCTTCAATGCAATGAGCTCCATGTAACATGAAATTATTTGATTATTGTGTTCGTTTTTATCTAATCAACAATGTAAACCAGTCTTGTTTCAGTTAATGAAATGGACCCTGGGACAAAGGGATGAATAACAAGCGTAACTGTTTTTTTTTTATTTGGCACCCGTATGTGTCTGTGAGTCAGCATGAAAGTTAAAGCCTTACTTAACATTCAACAGTTCAAGCAGCCACATAAAACAACCTGATGTGACCTATACAAGAATACCAAAATAAGTAACGGAGAAACTCGTCCTAGAGTAGAGGTTAAAGGTCAGAAATTATACTTACAGCTCTGAAGTAAAAATGTATCCAATTACATTTTTACAGGCACAGAAAATAGCGCTGACAAAGCACGCTATTATGACTGCAACGAGAAAAAGAAACCAGAATAAAATGCATTACACTCTTTTAAAATCATTCAATTTTAATATTGAAGGAAAAAGCGATGACAAGAACACAGAAAGCACTTTAAATACAGCAGCCAGGTTTATTAGATTACATTTTTATTGATTTACTCTGATGGGTCAAGAGGACACAGGCAGCCAGTGGATTTAAACCCATGACCGTTTTGCTGTGAAGTACCTTCCTGCATGGTTTATAGCTCGGTACAGCTTCCTTCCACAGTCCAAAGACATCCATGCTAGGTTAGCTAATGATGGGATAAGCTCCCATCAACAATATGGTATTGGATAAGCTGTTAAGGAGGTGGCAGGACGGATGGATTTATATTTTATTACATTTATGCTTCATATGCTTATTTAACAATATTTTATTCAAAATTTTCTATTCATGAGGCTCAATATGAAATGAAACTAGAGCTGCTACTGCTCAGTTATCAGTATTTTTAGTGCTTTCCATTTATGTAACACAGACAATAATACGTCGGTTCTTACATGCACAGATGATGGGGACTTTGCTTGACAGCTTGGCCTGCTCGATGTTTCCTGCACCAAGTGCATTCCCAACCCGTACACTGGCAGCACTAGCAAACCCTAGTGGAATCTATGGAAAAAGTCCATGTGTAATTCCAAAATGTAACGCCAAGTCAACATGCAAGCAAAACTGAGTGGAGTTACCATGTATGCTAGAATGGACAGCTCGTAGGTTATTGACTGAGCTCCCAACTCGGCCTCACTGATCACACCGGCCAGGAATCCTCCCACTTCAAACATCCACCACTCCAGACAGAGCATGAGCATGCTGGGGACAGCCAGCTGGACAAAGGGTCCCCACTCCTGGAGACAGTCAAGGGACCAACCTGTGGGTCAGAGTGACTCTATATGTCATCTTTCAAACTATTGGTTTAAATTATAATTTTATGATAGGCCTAGGATCAACAATTACCAATGAAGGATTTACATATATTTGACCTTACCATGAAATGTTATTTAAATCCCACACGTTTTAACTATTACAGAGATGTCTTAAAGTTTATTGAAACCCTCCTGTTAAAGAATAGTAACTGTCACGAATGACACAGCAAAATAAAAACATTTCAGCAAGTTCAAGATTCCCTGTAGAAGTAAAATGACTGACCTGCCCATGTAGCCTTATGCAGACCTCTCAAGTACATGTAAATGAATAAGACTGCTGCCAGCAAATACTGGGAGATGGCATTGGCTGCTGCTGATCCACTTAAAGACAAAAACACCGTAAAAAATAAACATTTAATGCCACATATTTAAAGTGACAATCAAATGAAACGCTATCAACAGAGCTACCCAAACTAAAATTAGAAGGTAATGTAAGTTTTATTTGACTTTTTAGTCATTTAATCTATCGTGCAATCTGTGTTAAATTCACTGAATCATTAAATAAAGAATTTAAAACACATTAGTTTTCTTTGACTGAATTTAGAGTTACATTCAACCAATGATGTCACAGGAATGATGGAGGAAAACTTACGCAACACCCAAATCCAGCTGATGGATGAGGACGTAGTTGAATATTGCGTTAAAGACATTTCCAATTGCTCCAGTTATAACTTGAGGACATATAATTCCCTGTACACCAAAGCACAAAATACACATAACATTCATGTTAATGTTTTAAATGCACAGCCAACTATTAAGGTAATGTTGGGCCATATGCACGTTCAAGCACCTGATTTTGAAGATACCTCCCCTGCAGCTGGTACATGAAAGCAGCCTGAAGAAAGCAAACATTAAATGATAAGAGACTCATTGACAGAAGCGAAGAACAAATTTGAGCACATGATCGGATCTTAGGTTAATCAGCACGCTAACACTTTTTACTGAAGATAATAAACAGCCAAAGCTGAGAAACATGTCAAATGACAATAAGTTACAGTTACTACAGATTCATTGCATTTATATGCCTCCACTGAATGTCATTAACCCTTGTCTACTCTGTCCCAGAGTTTGTGGGATTGCTTTCTGATTTTCTGCAATATAAGTGCCTTAATGTGACTGTTGTGAATTGGAGCTGCTAAAAAAATGAACTGAGCTAAGAATTTGGACAGTTAGCTAAGGTCCTTTGAATCTAGGCAAGGCTTGTATGTTGTCCCTGTGCCTGTGGGTCCTCTTTGGGAATTCCAGCTTCCTCCCACAGTCCAGAGACATGCATATTAGGTTAACTGGTGATTTTTAAATTGGCTGGAGATATAAATGTGTTCGTGAATGGTTCGTGTCTCTTCATTAGCCCTGCTATACACTGTGCAGGTTGTACCCTGCCTCTAGACCTGTGACAGCTGGGATAGGTTCCAGTGCCCCTGCAACCCTGATTTGAACAAGTGGAAGAAAATTTACGGATGGCTTGAACTGAATCCTCTGGGAATAATGAGTGTTTGATGTTAATACATTGTAATAACAACCTAAAACGTTAAGCTGCTTCTGGAGAAAAAGTCGTCATCAACCAAGATCAGCAGGCGTCAAACATGAAAGACCGCACAAACCTAACCATGTGTAAATCTATTAAACTGTTAAGAACTTTGCATCTGGAACAGAGATCTAACAGATCTTTTAGCTGTGCTGAAATTGGTTATTTAACACCTTTCAAAACTCTGTCAAATCAAACTCACCGGCAGAGCAGGCATGAAGATCTTCACATAGAGCTGGGAAAGGCTTCATGTGGAAATGAAAAGACAAAGTAAGCCTGCAACACTGTTGATGGTGACTGCACATAAATTATGGGCACATTGTATTTTTCTTGTTCTTTTACTTCATTCTGCACATTACTGTTTCCTACTTTGGTAAACAACAGTGACTTCATTGTGTTATGCTGTAAAATAAACCCTGTGTGACCAATGATGATGCTTCATTTTTGAACTTATCAGATCCAACTAATCCCAAATAGTTTAGACAAACTGAAAATGCATCTCAGGTCTCGTGATGTCAATTACGTTTTTTGCAACTTTACCCAAAAGTCGAGACATGTCACTGGCATGTTAACATAGCATGTAGTCTGAGACGCTGCTGGGCTGTAAACCAGCACACAAATCTAACCAGTTATTCCTCACAGGTTAGTAATGATGAACCCTAAACTCACTTGCATAGAAAGCTGAGTGACTTTAACAGCTGACATGCAAATTGCTGTTTTCCTGAGTTTAATTTTAAAGCCCTGCAAGTACAAAGTTAAATATTTCCATAATCTGTGTGAAGAGGTCATAATTTGTTCTCCTGAATGAAAAATTCATGCCTTTGCATTACTGAATTCACATATTTGTGTTATGTTTAGAAAAAAGTCAGTGAACAGTAAACAGTAAGAACCAGCACACTGACAGTTCAGATTAAAAACTGAACAACGGTGGTGAAGAAAGTGGAGGATTTAGCAGTTAAACAGACATTTCTAGTCTATGATACTTCAACAAATGAACAAAACTGGTTTAAAAATATTTTTACACAGCTGGTACCACAGTTCTTTTTCTTTTTGGCTTTAGCTAAAATCTTTGTTCAGGAAAACGTCTGAATTTTCCAGTGCTCAGTTAACTGTTCACTGCCACTGCAGGTATAATGTGCTTTTAGATTACTGCATTGTTTTGCACAAACTAATAGTGCTTGGCATTTTGCATAATTTGTGTTTCTTTAAGAGTGAGACAGACACATGCTCAGCAGTGTCACAACATCCATGCGTCTGTTATTGCTGGTTAATAACGGCTCACCTGGCGACCTCTGGACTCTGTTTGACAGCAAGTAGGAGAGGCTCAGTGTTGATGAGGATGGCCCAACAAGGGAAACAGGCCAGCAGCAGAATCAGAACTCCCCTCTGGAGAATCACACCCACACGCTTCAAGTTACCGCTCCCATACGTCTGCGTGAAACAGGTAGACAGACGCTCGGGTGAGAAAAGTTGGAAAACACAGAATCCCACCAAAGAACAAGGGTATGACTGATCATAGAAAAATAACTCCACACAAAAGCTCAGTGTTGAGATGTTTAAAAGGGCATTCCAGGAGAACCTGGGAACCCAGCTGTGCTGCTTGTGTTTGTCTTGGTTACACAAATAAAGTGAAAGCTCTGGTGAGGACCCTACCTGAGATATGAGGGTATCACAAGTTAATGACAAACCGGTGCCAATGGAAATACCAGTGACGTTAACTACCTGCAAACGAAACACAACATGCATAAAGTGGGGTAAAAAATGATGCATATTTACAGTTCAACAACAAAGGCACTGAAATGTCTGCTCACCGCAATTGATAATGCTACAGCTGCAAGTTCAGTTTTCCCCAGGTGACCACAGAACACCGTGCTGACAAAACCGATCATGAAAATCATGAACTGGGAAATGACCTGAAGTACAGAAGAGGAGATACTGACTCTGTGTTGTATTTAGAAATACATTTAAAGGAAAAATAAATAAGTAATGAATATGGTTAAAACATTTAGTAACTTAAGGATGTTAAACATTTAAGAAATATTGAAGCAAATGTATGTTGTTGAGCTTTAAGCAAAATCTGGACTAATTTGACATATAATCCAAATAAGCCATAAAAACACAATTAATGCATCTAAAATTAAATAAACATGATGCCAAACTGATAGGTTTGTAGCTTGAACCTATTCGCTGGAACGTTGAAGACAATATAATTACACAGCAAAGCAAGACACAAGGCACCAAAGTTCTCTGGTTTACTCATGCATGAGGGAGACCTGCCTAGAGCCAAGTGTCGTCCCACCACTTGACCTCCATCAGACTCTCAGCCAGGCTCCCCATAGCACTCCTTTTATTGTGGTTACATGAATATGCATAGGGTCATTAACATATAGCATCTTACATAGGTATACATGTAAACAAAGAATACTGTGTGTGTGTGTGTGTGTGTGTGTGTGTGTGTGTGTGTGTGTGTGTGTGTGTGTGTGTGTGTGTGTGTGTGTGTGTGTGGTACTGCTGATCAAAGGGTCATATACATGATAGCACAAAGGCAAACATCCTTGACACGGGAAGAGGGTAGCCCCCCCCCTCACCCTAGATGGTTCACCCTAGATAACACGGTGAGGAAGTCCTGCAGCTCATCTAAACAAAAAGCACTTAGACTAGAACAGACGTAGCTACGTTAATCCTACATAAAACAATAAGACAAGGTACGACCTCTCTCGTGCTCCCAGGATGTGGGTGTGCATTCTAGTGTGGAATACACACCAAGCCTCTGCAGCCTGTTAAAGATCACACAACCTATCACTACACAATTAATTATACACCTCTAAGCATACATGGTTAAATATTTCTAAGCATAAATGACAACCAACAATACAAAACCTAACACAAACCTGTCTAAGCAACTAAACAGATATAAACAGCTCGATCCTACAGTCCCGGGTTTGTTTAGTTTAAACACACGGGACGAGATATAACACAGTCTTAATAACGAGTCCCAAGTTTACTGACACATGGCACAACGTCTGTAGTAAATCAGCTCTTCCTGTCAGTAACATCACACAGAGAGCGACAAACAGGGATGCCAAATAATGTCCGAATAAAAACACCACTACAGTTAAATATAGCTATTCAGTTGTGTCCACACAGTCTTACCACTGGTCCCGCTAGTTTGAAAAGTTGCACAAGCTCATTGCGGTAAACTGTCGGAATGAATCCAGGGACACATTTCTGGCAACAGCCGCGGGAGCTCTGTGCCACTTCACCTTCCTTTAAATCCCCCCTCGCTGCCTCTGTGCATTTTCCTGCTGTTTTTACCGAAGCGTCCATAATTGAACAGATCCAAGTGTTCTCTGCAAACAGCCGGACTGCTTTCTGTCACTGCTTCGCTCTCAGCAGCTACTGTATCTAGTAGAGGCTGATGTTTTGATAACGGGATCACGATGAGGAGGGGCCAGACACGCGCTGTAAGTTGAGGAGTGTCCTCGTGCATGTGTATACTGCTGCTGGGAAGTTTGGGAGTGTTTACACTTGTAAATAGCGCGTGCCACAGCACGGCGACAGACCCGCTAAGTGTGTGTTTAACACTCTCTGTCTAATCTATGGGGAAGGAAGAGAAACCAAACAAACAATTTTTATTTTAGTTCAGTAATTGGAAAAAAGATAAAAAATCTAGGTGGACAATAATTTCATAACAGTAGAAGTATGGGTGCAAAAAAACAGAACAGTCTTCCTCACACTGACTTGCATAAAGTTCGGTCCTCAAACTAATATACATTAACATACTTTCATCAGAAAAAATGTTGAAAATTAATAGTTTTTGCAGGTCAGACTGTCTGCAGAGTCTGTTTGCGATGCTGGATTGTTTTGCATCTGGGCAACTTTGGTTCAGGTGGTTGAGCAGGTTGTCTTGCAGGATCCTTGGGTACTGACCCCCGAGTTTGTTTGTGTGTGTGTGTGTGTGTGTGTGGTGTGTGTGTGTGTGTGTGTGTGTGTGTGTGTGTGTGTGTGTGTGAGAGAGAGAAATTGTAAGAAAGTCCTTAGGTATAGATAAAAGCAATATATGAACGTGTGTGTTTGGGTCAGCTGAGTAGGAAGGTGCTACACATAGCAGCATGGCTGCTTTGTTTGACAGGCGCACAGACACAGATAGCTGTAGGTGGCCTGGTTTCTCCCTCTGACCTATCCTCACTCCTGTGTTTGTGTTGTTGGTGCCTTTTAAACAATTTTATCAGAATGGCGTGATAAATAATAATAATACAGTGTGTTGTTCGCCTGCCCAAGAGGCTGTGCATTATTTGTATATTACTTAGCACTTAGGAGGTATCTGTGGCTATAAGATGGTAATATCACAACATTCCTCTTTTATATACAATCTATGTTTTTAACTCTTGAAAATGACTCTGAACAAGGTTATGCAAGTGGTGCAGGACTTCCATAAATATTAACATAGAGAGAAAAGACTGGAAATATTGATAAATGATAACTAAATAATGGGTAAATAAACAAAAAAACTAACAGTATACTATATGTAGATTAATTGTAAAATATTGGTCAAATTAAAGGTTTTTTTTTAAATTTATGTACAGATTTTTAATGTATTTATTTCGGCGTGAGTCATTTCGATCTTCTACGTCTCATGTTCACTACACCTGAATACGTCTTAGTCTAGGAATACAATTACAGGGTGTTTTATAATGTTGATAAAGATTATCTACCAGTAAGAGGTTTAGTTTAAGAAATTAATCTGGTTTAACTAGACTTATCATGGGAAAGTCACCTAAATTAGAGTGGCCCGCAGTAAGAGCTTTCCTTCATGATTAAAAAAAAGTACCTGCTGGACTGACACAGCATTTCCACAAGGATAGTCTTTACAGCTGGTGGTTAAAGTGAGCACCTTCAGTTAATGGAGCCGTTTCATCATGTAGCTGGTGCTACAGAAGTACAAAGTAAGCAAGGGGCAGCTAACTTCAAATGTAGTGTCTGAAACTGCTCAGCAAATCTCACCAAACACAAACTGTTACACATAAACCGCAGTTTGGCACACACTGTGTCTGCGAGCCACAGCTGTTCCAGCGGTCTACAGTCGCCGTAGTAAAGAACTGGCAATGAGTTATTCACGTCACTGTGGAGGAATTAAAATCAGCTTGCAAAAAAAAAAAAAAATGCAGTTAGTCACACTTAATTCATGATTTAGCAAAGGGGGAAAGTCGCTTTTTGACATAGGACCATGTATATTTGGAAAGTTGTTTTTCACCTTAATAAATAAGATCTTCTAAAAACTGTAGTTTGTACTTACTTGGATGAGCTTTGTCAATATTAAAATTTGTTTGATAATCCTAAACCTTTTACATATGCAAAAATTAAAAGAAAAAGATCTCAGGAAGGGGGAAATTTTTCACTGCATGGTATATGTTTAAATGACATTTCCAACAAATGGTCATAGTTATGAAACAGAGCTCAAAATGCAAATCATACATAATGTGTCTGGGCCTGACTACGTGACAGTCTGTGCAACAAGTTACTTTTTAACAGTGATTATGCAGAAAGGGAACATGGTCATTCATGACAGATGATCTGGAAACTGGTGAAAATGACTGAACCAAGAGGGGGGTTGAGTGGGACAGAAGTCATTTCCACGGGTGGCTGAGCTCATTGCTACTGATCAACAGGATCAGGTTTCTTTATTGTGAATTGATGAGACCTCTGTTTGTCCCAGAGATGAGACTGATGACCTACAGTCATTTCTAAATGGGTTTTATGGAGCTGCTGTTAATGTGGAATTTCCCTACATAAGCCAACTTTTTGAAGCTTGCTTCATGAAAAGCCTCTTTTTGTTCAGGAGTTATTTATTCATACACGCTCACACTTAAAAGCCACCCAGTATGGCTACAAGTTTGTGATTGTTTAATGCTTCACTATTAAACAGTAAACTCTTTATTTTCAGATTTCCAACAGAAGGAACTCAAAAACATCAAAACAACAGAGGAAATAGAAAAGAATGGCAGATCACTCAAAAATGTATTTGTTCAGCAAAGTCTCAACACTGACTAAACAGACCTTCATCTATTCGTTTAAAGCCTAAACCGATCATGAAAATAAAGATCTCTCTGATACATCTATTTTTAAAAAAAAAGTCCATAGTATGGTCTTTTGAAGCAAAAGGAAGATATAAGAAGACATTGTGCAGTGAAATGTTTGTTCTCGTGAAAAATGCTGGCATAAAATGTTACTGGTGGACGTTTAAGTTCCTTGTTTCCACCCAGAAAATACACATTTTCCATTTGCTTACAATTAATAGTAAACTCACTCACTCACTCACTCACGAAGCAGATTTCCTCATAGACTGCATACTAAAATTGGATACTGGATGCCCCTTGTTGGATAGTAAACAAGTTACTCAGAGCTTCACATTTTAGCCTTTGCAATCTTCGTGTTTTGAAAACTGACAGAAGGATTGAGTGGTGACTCACTAAGAAACCAAGTGAGACTGTATACTCATACAGTGAAGTGCATAACTGCCTTTTTCCTTTGCGATGCTAATGGGACCATAATTTCCTAAGTGAACATGATGTTGTATTTAATAAGATGTAACACCTGTGACAGAGCCACAGGTGAGAAAATGTTTACTGGGGCAAGCAGAACAAGCAGAAGAATTGCTTGCTGCTGTCTGTTATAGAGAATGCACATGTAAGACACTTTAGGTATCACACTTTAGGTATCACATTTCAGACCTGAAAGCATCATCCATCTTTTGTATACAGTCTTTGGGTTTTGATACCTGATACAAGAAATTCTAAATGTGAATTTGGCCTGACGTTAGCATCCGCTCTTTTGGTGTGCAGTAAAGAAAATATGAGAGGGCTGCAGACCAGGAAATCAAAGAGTTTCTGGAAGCTGCACAGAGCTGAAGACTGGAGTAGATTCTCAGTATGGTCAAGCTGATGAGCAGCCCTATGACACTCAAAAATCCATCATTTTAACAGCTTCATTAGAAAGTGACTGATGATTATTCCAGCAAGAAGGATGATGATCATGATTATTAATGCCAAACCACGCCATACAGCCAACTGTGGTACAGACAGAACATCTCCCACTGTGGTGGTGGTGAAGGCTCTACTGCCTGAACTGGCTACAGTTGGGTCTGTGTTTCCTCCCTCAGCACTCAAACACGCAGACTCAGCTCCACTGACCTGGGCCTGACTCTGATGTGAATCTAGAGGTTTGGGGCAGTTAGAGAGAGAGAGTATTTGAGATTAACCCAAAACGTTCATGCGAGCCTCAAAGCAAGACTGTTTCTTATTACTAGTTCTTACCTGAGTGTTCCAGCTCAGCTGTTGCATTTTCCTTTGTGATGTGAACCCCTGCTCTCACAAGAGCCTGATCACAGACATCAAAGACACTGATTGTACATTTTAGCTTCAAATAAGAAAGCTTTAAACTTAAAGCAACTGATGTAGCTACTCACATCTTCTGAAGCCTTTTTCCAATCAAGTTTGCACAAAAAAGTGACGTAAAATATCATCTGAAGTAAGAGGCAAATGACAAGTCCTGTCCAAAGTCCTGTCACCGATCAAAAAAAAAAAAAAAAAAAAAGTTCCTGAAAGCTGCTAAACAAATCCTCTGAGACAGAGTAACACACACACACACACACACACACAGTTTGGTTTTACCTACAATCCCCATGTTTGCTGCGAACATCAGGGACACACCAATGGGGAAGCCAATGAAGTAGAATGCAACAAAATTACACAAAGCACCAATCAGCTGTTTCCCCACACCTCTAAGAACACCTGCAGCCACGCCCTGCAAGTATCAAACACTGGTCATGCGGATGTCTCACGTGCTTTGTGAATGGTTATTCTGCATGATTTCTCACCGCAATGGCATCACAGATGTGCATGAATCCAAATATAAGCATGACATCAGCAACCCTCTGAATGATGTCTCTATAAAGATATAGAAATAAGACCTTTAAAAGGGTTTTTAGAAACATACTTTAAATTGATATTCATGCTTTCAATGTAACATCTATCTCTAGTCAGCAAACCAATAAAAGGAACAAGTTCAACTGCAGCAGTCAAACTGCATTTGAACCTGACATTGTTATTCCTCACTGCGGAGTTTATTGAGCGTGCTTCAGCTGCTTGACTTAATTATTTAGTAAGACCATAACATTAAACATAATTAAAAAAGTGGCAATATAGTTTATTATTAAGTGTTAGTTTTCCTTCCTTGATTCCTTGAAATTGTCCAATCTTCGTCTAAGGTCCAGTTATTCATGGTTGAGCCCAGGTACTTAATGATAAAGGCAATTTGAAAAAACCAAAAATAGACAGTCTCGAGTGTTTATTGAATATACCGAGTAACCACTCACACTGCTCATAAAAGCAACTGATCTCTTTCATTTAGTAAATTGTTGAATCTCCCTTTGGAGCAAGAATCTCAAAACTAGTTACAGACATTTACTTGAACCACTTGTAGGATTTCCACAATTGCAAGGATGGCTACTGTGTCAAGTCTCCCAGTTTATAAATAATTGTTATAATTAAACAGTCATTTTCGGGGAATGCCACAGGATTGGCTTCAGTTGGGTTAAAATCAGCACTCTGACTTGGATTTTCAAAAACCCCTATATGCTTTCAGTCATCATCTTGCCATCATCTTTACAATATTCAGCTCATGCTTCACCCCTGTCACATTCTCCTATAAATCTGCTTTTAATTAAGTTGGAATTGTTTAAAAGGTCTCTGGCCCCCGAGAGAACAAGCCTCGAAGCATAATAGCACCTCCACCGTGCTTCACACATTAGGAAGATTTAGTGTTTTGTGCCACCACACTTTTTGCTGGGCTCTTGGGATAATTTTGGTTGGCCGGCCACTCCTGGAAAGGTTCACCAATGTGCCATGTTTTTGCCATTTATGTATAAGGGCTCTCACTGTGGTTCTCTGGAGTCCCACAGCTTCAGAAATGGCTTCATAGCCTATTTCAGACAGAGATCTCAGTTGCTTTGTTTCTCATTTGTTCCTGAATTTCCTTAGATCGCGGCATGATATCTGCCACTTTGTCAGGCAGGTCGTATTTAAGTGATCTCTTGATTGAGAGTAGGTGTGAGAGTAATCAGGCCTGGGTGTTGCTAGAGGAATTAAACCAAAGATGTGATACACCACAGTTAATTTATGCTATAACAGGAGAGGGCAATTAATTTTTCCACTTAGTACCATGTAGGTTTGGATTTTTCCCCCTTAATAAACACCATCATTTAGAAACTGCATTTTGTGTTTGTGTTATCTTTGTCTACCACTTAAATTTGTTTGATGAGCTGAGATATTTAAGTGTGACAAATATACAAAAAGAATAGGAAATGAGGAAGGAGGCAAAAACGTTTTCACATCACTGTATTTGAAGTCTGGGTCTGGGTGCCTCACAGGATGAACACTAACTATAAACTGAAGGATTTGTTAAAGGGACCTACCTGCTAAACATTAAACAGTCACAGATCACCGTTGTGCATCAACATGAAGACGATGACCACAGATAATGTATAATAGTCTGAATGGACTTGTGTAACATCACAGACTCAGCTAGACATCCACGTGTCTGCAACAAAGTAAAACTGAGTGTGTGTCTGTGAGTGCACTCACTGCTCGGAGGTGAAAATGTAGCCAATGACGTTCTTGGTAGAGATGATGAAAGCCCCAACCAAACAGGCAACTGCCACTGTGGTGCACAAACAAAGTAAAATGCACAGCGTGAGAGAACAGCTCACATGTAGAAATTTCAAAGAGAGAAGGTGAAGACACGACCTGTGTTTTCAGGGACTGTTTGCATACGTGTTGATAACACATGTAACCAGCCGTTTGCTTTCAATTATTTCTTTTTAAGATTACTCGTTTCTTACATGCACAGATGATAGAGACTTTGCACGATAGCACGGCCTGCTTTGGATTTCCTGCACCAAGAGCATTTCCAACTCTCACACTGGCAGCAACAGAGAATCCCAGTGGGCTCTGTGAAAAGATATGTATTTACACAGTGATAATGTGAAGTATTGAATTTCATGAAAATAAATGATCTCATTAAAGTTAGTTTAAAGGGACATGGCACCACTACCACATTGGTATGATAAGTTCAAAAGTAGAGCTAGAAGCTCGTTATCTTAGCACAAAGATTAGAAACAGACGAAAACAACAAGAGATGCTAGAGCCAGTCTGATTTGTTGTAGTGTAAACTTGCACAAGCTCAAATAAAACTGCCATTAGGATGAAGACAACACAAACACACACACACATGAAGAAACACACAAAGAAACCAAAGCAACTACTGCCAACTTCATTAGAAGAACAGAAGGAAACTGCCAATAAGGCTGGTAGTTTTCCTGGGCTGCAGCGCTGCATTGCATATAATCCAACAATGTTCCCTTGGAGTGGTGAGCATTGATGAGCATGTGCAGTGTGCTGCACAAACTGGAAGTAAACCATGCAGCAGGTGAACAGTCACTGATTTTACAATCCCACATTCATTGTCCTTTATTCATCAGGAATACAGAGTTGTATGGTGGTCATGCTTAAAGGGATCAAAGTCCTTCTTCTCAAGTATAGATTATACAAAGATTTTTTTGTTATAATCTTTTTATAAAATATGTTCTTATGAAGGATTATTAAGATATTTTAAAGCATTTTTATAGCTAAGATTAATTTAAAAGGTTATTAATGGGGTTATTAAGGTTATTAATTTCACTGTTTCATGAAAACAATAGAAAATAAATGGATGGATGAAATAGTCTCTCCAAAAACAGGAAAGGTAAAAATGAAAAAAAGTTACCATATAAGCTACAATGCAGAGTTGGTATGCTATGGACTGAGCTCCCAGCTCAACCTCACTTATCACACCAGCCAGGAATCCTCCGATTTCAAATATCCACCAGGACAAGCAAATCATGAGCATACTGGGAATAGCCAGCTTGATGAAGAGACCCCACTCTTGCAGACAGTCAAGCGTCCAACCTGCAGCAGAAGTTTGAAGAAAAAAACAAAACAAACACCATTAAAAGACGGCCAGCTTTTTAAACATTCACTCGAAGATCACGCTGTGGTCAAGAAAACTGACCTCCCCATGTGGCTTTGTGTAGACCCTTCCAGCAGATGTAAGCACATAGGAACAAAGCCAGCAAATACTGTGACATGGCATTGGCTGCTGCAGATCCACTTCAGTAGTACCATGAGCAGAAGAAGTGACCAAAAATAGAAGAAGGCACTTATTAAGAAATATAACGACACAGTATGAATGGAAAATATCAAGATTAAAACATGTACAAAGCGTCCACAAAAGCAGTTAAATTAGACAGTCTTAAAATAACATTTCATAATTGCTTTGAGTTTTTTCTTCTCCTGCACATTTTTTTTTTATGATTTTATGGTTTTGCCAGATTAGATCAACTGGAAGGATTCTATACTGTAAGTATACCTGAGTAAAAGTCAGGGATCTATCAGAATCAATAGGTTTACAGTTTTGAGCACAGTTATACTTCACTGTCTTTGCTAATCTAAGAAATGTCCAGATGTGCCACTGGAACTATGTGATGGACTCTCAGGTTCAAAATCTAAATCACTAAATAATTGTTTTTTTGTTTTTGTTTTAAAGCTTTAACACACCATTCCCGTGAAACACTTAAAGACACATATCTGCACCCTTCTAACCACTTATCATTCAAAAGTGATTAAAACAAAAAACAAACAAAAAAAAAACTCACGCAACACCCAGCTCCAGGGGATAGAGGAAGACGTAGTTGATGACAACATTGAAGACATTTCCAATTGCTCCAGTTATAACCTGAGGCCACATAATTCCCTGTAACGAAGAGCAAAACGTTTTCCATTTAAACTTAACTTTGTTACATGTCATGAATGTCATACATGTCTTATGTTAGGATACTGGACCTGATTTTGTAGATACTTCCCAAGCAGTTGGTACATAAAAGCAGCCTGGAGATAGAAAACAGACAAAAAGTTTGAACATTTTTTTGTCTTTGAACACATCTGTTGATTCTTGTATGATTGCCGATTGTAACTATTGTTTCTAAGAACTTTGTATATTGTTACTTTGTAATGTGTTTAAAAACTTTAATTGGATAGCTATTAAAATTTTAAAACTGATACATACAATCAAGGAGGTGATATAAGATCAGTAAACTGCAACTTATGTTCTGTTTGACTAATATTGTTGACATATTTTATTTTACGTTTGTTTCATGTATGTCATGGGTTCAACAGTAAGGCAAATCTTGTGTGGATCGTTGAGACAGCTCATTTAAAAAAAAAATAGAGTTCCATTTTTGTGGTTCACCTCCCTAAGGCCCGGTTCATTTTGGATGATTTCGCAAGTGTCCCTTACGAAACAGGAAGTGCTCAGAGTGGGTGTTCTCCCTTTTAGACATTCTCTGATTTTACTGATAGCTTCCACCATTAGCTTGTGCGTTCACACACAGGATCATGAGGGAAAACTGAATGCATCAAACTCACCGGGAGAGCAGGCATGAAGATTTTCACATACATCTGGGCGAGACTTCAGGCCAGAGAGACAAACACAATGTGTGAAAAAACTACATATCTACAATGCAGGTGTGATTACAAGTGCTCTTTGCCTACAAAACTGATTTGATTCTTTATGGCCTAAATTCAAAAAGGTGCTTGAAACATTTCTCAGACATTTTGACATGCAAGACCTGCAGAGTTGCTGCAGATTTGTCAGCTGCACATTAATGTCGCAAATCTTTTGATCTACCACATCTGCTTTACTTCTACTGTAGTGCAGATTTTGACTTAAAGTATATATTGTGCATTTACAGATGATAATTATGAATTTGTCTAATTCTGCTCTAGCTGTTCCTGTTGAACTTACCTGGCGACCTCCGGACTCTGTTCCACTGCGAGTAAGAGGGGCTCAGTGTTGATGAGGACGGCCCAGCAGGGGAAACAGGCCAGCAGCAGAATCAGAACTCCCCTCTGGAGAATCACACCGACTCGCTTCAAGTTACCGCTCCCATACGTCTGCATGAAACATTCAGACAAAGACTTACTGATCACATGACAAAGTAACAGTTCAGGAAAACAAACTTGATACCACAATCTCCTTGTTAAGTTGTTTAAAAAACATAGGCCCCAACCTGAGATATCAGGGTATCACAAGTTGCTGATAAACCAGTGCCAACAGAAATACCACTGACGTTAACCACCTGCAAATAAATAGATACATTCATTTAAAAGCATGTGTTCAGAATCCAAATGAAGACTTACAGAAGGCAGCGACAGAAAAGAGCTGATGTACGCCTCACGTGCGTCTCCTTACCGCAGCTGCTAGTGACACTCCTGCAAGCTCAGTTCTCCCCATGTGACCACAGAACACCATACTGACTGTACTGATCATGTAGACCATCAGCTGAGAAATGAGCTGGGAAAACAAAATCAAACGCATCATTATTATCCAGCAGATCATAAATAAATAAATAAGGAAGAACTGTTTCATTAGAATTTTCATTAGTCAGAAATAGCTCATGATATACTCGCTTCTAAACTTCTTGCCGTCTTTTTTAACATCATATATTTTTAAACGCACAGATCAGGCTTCTAGGAAGGCACCAGAAGTCAAATTCATCATTTAATACCGACGTAAGGACAAACCAAGATTATTTGAGCCAAGAATTTAATTTAGAACTGTTAAAATGTTGTGACATGAAATTTTCTTTCTGTGCTTCAATAAAGTACGCAAGTATGACTGTACAAGTGTGTTTGTTTATGGTTAGTGTTTAAATGACCAAGCGTGTGGTTTTAAAACAGTGTTATACATTTTCACATATGAAAAATAACATGCTGATGCTGCTGGCCTGAAACTTGAAAAACTATCAATTTTCAGACTGATGTTTAATTTTTTTTTTTTTTTAACTTTCCTAACTTGTTCACAACAGGTCACCAAAGAGGGCAGATTTGTGTCTCTTTAGCCTGTTAGGCTTTTAGCCTGTAATGTGTAAACCACTACAATAAATAAACTGCATAAAAAGCAAAGAAATGTGTTCAGTGGATCTTTTCTTTATTGTCGCAATGCTTCGCTATGACCGTTCTCATACCATTCCCCGTTATATTGGAGATGGTACTAGGGCTCACTCTAAATAATTCTGCAACCTGATTCTGCAGACCACCAGCTTGAATTTGCCCTTCAAGGCACAGGTCCTATCCAGATCAGTCAAACATGGCCGGCTTGGAGCAGACACCAACTGTCCCCTCACAGCTGCTGCCAATTAGGCTTCAATCAGGCACCCGATTGTCAGCATCTAGAGTACCAGAAACTCAAAACACGAGTCAATAGCAGAATAAGCTGTTAAGTTTTTGATGGGCACTACCCAGAAATGTGGCATCATTTAAGGGGAAATAAGCAGGCATGTGTATTTTTTTTTTTATACCTTTTTGAATTTTATAATTTTCATCACTTTGTCTCTTATTGAGATATTTAACTTAATTTAAATTATTTTGTTAAAGTTTCTATTTTTAGTGTTTTATCTTCTGTCGTGCAGGATCCTGCCACTTTCTGATAAACAGATTTAACACATTCAATTAGTAAAACGTGCAACAGTCTAGTTATAATGCTGATTTTTAATACAGCTATGTGGAATCATTGCATTAAACAGTATGCAGCATGTTGTAACTCAGGCCTGAATGTCAGAAGGCTATAAAAGATTTAACATTCAGTAAGCAAAAAAAATAAAAAATAAGACTTTATGTCCGAGTGTTGACTTTTCATTTCATAACCAGATTGGAAAGGTCTTATTTGCGAGACTGTTACAGGAGTTGCACTCAGGTCAGAACTAGCTTAAAATGAAGCAGGTTTTTAAAATTTCATCTTTACTGTTGGGAATAAATAATTTTTCAGTGCCTCAATAATGCGTCTTACCACCGGTCCTGCCAGTTTAACAAGCTGTAGCAGCTCATTCCAGTACACCGGCGGGATCAAACAACGGGTGCTCTTACGGCAAGGAGAGCATCCTTCACCGGAGCTCTGAAGTTCATTCAAGTGTCCGTTCACTTCCCTTAAATAATCGGTAACCGGTTCTAGACCTTCCATGACCAGGAAACGAAACGCTCTAAACCGACTTGGATCCCAGACACCATTTACGGCCTCGTCCCCTGCAGTCACGGACACATGTCAGGCACAGCAGATATCCCACAGCTTGATCCACGCGGAGAAATCCACTGAAATCCCCTCGTGCTTCCACTGAAACGTGACGCGATATGTGACGTAAATGTCTAGGAAACGCTGTTGACGATAAACATGAGTGTGTTTTATTACAAAAACAAACAAACAAAGCTAAAACAAAAACGTCTTCAAAACAACAGTGTGTGATTTATGTTTTGGAGTTTATTTTAAAAAAATACGGGCAGGCTTTTTGTGAGATTATTCCACATCGTCTTCCTCTGCTTTCATTGCAGCCACGTCACGCTCACGAGCAGAATCACGAGACCAATGCCGAATATGGTCCTGAAGAATGTAAAAAAAAAAAAGGCTTGTCATACTGTAAAGACAGCTGTTCCATTTCCATGGAGATATCTGCAGACATGTATGGAGACAAAAAACAAACAAACAACAACAACAGTAGTAATACGATGGCACCTATCCAAGATGGCGGCCAACCAAACCGGTTTGAGAACCGGTTTGACCGGTTTCGTGCGTGTGCGCATGCGCGTTCAGTAATTCGATGGCACTAGTCCAAGATGGCGGGCAGCCAAACCGATTTGACCAGTTTCGTGTGTGTGTGTGCGCATGCGTGTTCAGGTGTTCTTACCCTCTGGGCGGGAACGACTCCTCCTAGTGGGATGTGCTAGGTTGTATGGGTATAAAAGCGATCCTTTCACATTCTAAGAGCATCACCGCCACGGTCTGAGGAGCACCGACACATCGCGCTAAGGATCCCCGACGCATCGACCTAGAGCACCGACACATTGCGCTAAGGATCCCCGACGCATCGACCTAGAGCACCGACACATTGCGCTAAGGATCCCCGACGCATCGACCTAGAGCACCGACACATTGCGCTAAGGATACCCGACGCATCGACCTAGAGCACCGACACATCGCGCTCGCTAAGGATCCCCGACGCATCGACCTATGGAGCTCGGAATGACACCCAGCCAGGACATCGCCCATGCCATAGGCACTCTAGGTATGTCTTCAGGAGTATGCAGTCGGGGTCCTCAACGTAAAAAGCAACGCTGTGGAAACGCCGCAGATGGAACTGTATTCAAGTTAGAATATCGAGGCGTCGAAGGGTATGTGTATGCCATTAAATATACCGAAGGGAGAGTTGTGCTTAGTGTAGATTGTGGTGAGGGATTGTTTTGGGGGGAAGCCCAAGTCATGTCTACTAAAAACTGGAAGCTCTTCCGCACCGTAGTGTGTGCGGACCTGGACAATGTGGGTTTCCCAGAGCTGCTGTATGTTTCCCAGTGGAACAGTGCATCAGGCCCTGAGCTTTACAGGGTTGAGGCTGATCGTTTCAATCGCAACCCCGACGACTTTATTTTTCTCAGTGTATGTGATGACAGGGATAGTCTTATTGCTTCCAGAGGGCTTGAAAACTGGAGGTTAAATCCATACCCTCTAAACCTCGAAGAGCGCACAAGATGGTTTAAGGACTTGTTTTTTATACAGTGGTGCGACTGGAGAGGTTTGTCGCGTCTGTTTAGCCAGATTGATGACGCGATCAAGAAGGACAGACTCAACACTGCGTACGAGAGTATTAGAAAGCGCCTTGTTTTTGACGATCTGGCGAGTTGTCCGAAGACTGGTTTGCCTGGTACCCTGTGTAAACCTAAAATCATAAGACCTTCCGACAGCTAAACAATAAACTGGTAGGTTTAATGTGCGGGTGTGTGGGGTTGAGTGTGTATCTATGTGACAAATTAAGAGCTTGTGGTTTTCATTTTACAGAGAATGACACGCCCTCGTGGGACCTGTTGGAGTCACCATCAACAGAGCTGCTAATCCCGACCCTCCAGACTCCACCACCCTCACCACAATGCTCGCAGGACCCCCTCATATCAGACCTGTGGGATGAAACTGTAATCGACATCAAACTCGCAACTCTCCACCTGTTAATGTTGGCTTTGAATGAGTTTATACAAGAGACATGTTACGGATGCCAAACAGGCCACCCCAGTCAGGTGCAACACAGCTGCTTGCAGGAATTGTCTGAGTATTTCTTCGACACCTACTATGATGATGTGATGATAAGGCTCCAGACTGAGCGATTCATCCCTGCCATCCGGCTGTTTGTACGCTCATCCACTGCAGATGGGTCTGGAACACAAATACGCAGAGTTGCAGAACACATCATGTGTGAACTGAGATCAGAGCGATATATAGTATGCGCCATTAATGACAACATTGGGCACCTGCTAGATGCAAGTACTTGCGCCCGCCGTGTTAAACCAGCCATGCTCCGCATGATTGGAAACTACTGGGCTGGGTTACATCTGGTTTAATGTGGGGTGTCCAAGTATCCATTGTCTGTGATTGTGTCTTTGTGAAAATTAAATAAAAAGACTTGTTAACATCAACATCATAGTCATTTGTGGTTTGTAAATCATGGAAAGCACATTGCATAAAATATATCACGATCCAGCCCATCCTGCGGGGTTAGCCAGTTTAAATAAGCTACGTATAGCGGCAGGGGAGGCATCAGGTGTAACACCTCCACTATCTCAGGTCAAACATTATTTAGAACAAGACGACACCTACACACTCCATAAACCTGCGAGGATCCATTTCCCCAGAAATAGAGTATTGGTGACAGGGGTCGACAAACAGTTTCAAGCCGATCTGGTTGACATGTGTGAATATGTGACAGATAATGATAATGTGAGATATCTGCTAACATGTATAGATGTATTCTCAAAATACGCATGGGTTAGATGCCTAACAAACAAGACAGGGTCTGTTGTATCAGCTGCTTTTGAAGATATACTTAGTGAGGGTAGGATCCCTGTGAAACTACAAACAGATGAAGGCAAAGAGTTTTATAATGCAACCTTTAAACAGCTAATGAAGCGATATAATATCAAGCATTTCTCAACAGCTAGCGAGGTTAAATGCAGTATTGTCGAGAGATTCAATCGTAGCTTCAAGGGTAGAATGTGGAAGTACTTAACATCAGCCAACTCCCGGAGATATGTAGATATCATACCAGATCTCACACAAGCATATAACAATGCTTATCACAGATCTATCCAAATGGCTCCGGCAGAGGTGAATAAGGATAATGAGAAGTCGGTCTTCAACGCGCTGTACAAAACGAGGCCTCAGAGGGAACTGCGCTTTAAATTTAATATCGGTGACACTGTACGAATATCAAAACTGAGAGGAAAGTTTCGAAAAGGATACGAGCAGACCTACACCGATGAGATTTTCACAGTCAAGGAACGTATAGGGAGACAGCCCCCAGTGTACAGACTAGTGGATCTAGCAGGAGAGGTATTGAAAGGGTCATTTTATGAGCCTGAGATACAACGTGTGGTTGTTGATGAAAACAAAACATTTAAAATTGAAAACATATTGGCTAGAAAAAAAGTGGGTCGGAAAAAGCAGGTGCTAGTGAAATGGCTAGGATGGCCCAACAGCTTTAATTCGTGGATTCCAGAAAAAGACATCGTTGAGGCGTAATTAACTCAGATGACGCAGCTCTACACACATTCATTCAACACTGAGCATAGACTGAGAAAGCATGAATAAAAAGAACAACAATGCAGGCTTCTATGTAAGCCTCTTCTCGAATGCTTCATCACATGTTTACCCAGGTAATAAGATATCTAATTTTAGAACAAAGCTAGCAAAACCTATTGTTTTGGATCAGCCATATGAGGTCGCTGTTATAGAGATACAGTACCCACGCATATGGCGGACTTTTCCACAATCAGATTCGGAAGTGGAAATTCATGACCCCGTCAAAGATGGAACCATAGCCATAACCATGATCGAACTGTCTGTGGGCCATTATGCATCTGTGGAACAGATAATAAAAGAATTTAATTTTAAATGTCAACAGCACCAAGCCACTGGAGACATTAAAATGCAGTACAACGCCGTTAGTAACCATGCCTGTGTTATGGGCCTAGGGGGACTATTCTCACATTTAGAGGGAGACTGGCGGAAATCCTAGGATTCAAAACAGGAGAACCGTTTGCACTTCATTATAAAACACATATGCCCGCACCCCGCAGACATATACGGGGGAAAATATAACATCTTTATTTATGCAGATATCGTTGATTACCAGCTTGTGGGTGACGCCCACGCGAGGCTATTAAGAGCTATAAATATTACAGACGATGACCGCCGGTTGCCTATTCTACAATTTGACAGCCCACACTACACACCTGTGTCAAAGACATTAATCGACGACATAGAAATTGATTTGAAAGACGATCGAAATCAACACATACCCTTTTTATACGGCAAAGTGTTTGTCAAGTTACACTTCCGACCGATAACACAGCATTTTTGAAAAAAAGGATGGCCGTCTACAACTCTGATGACTCAAAATATGTAAAATACTACTTATCACAGGCTGGTGGAGAGCTCGGAGGGTATGTTGGGACCAGTACACAATATGGGACAGGTCTGGGTGGGTTGTTCCGTAGCTTGTTTAGATTTGCAGTACCGCTGTTTAAAAAAGGAGTCAGCATAGTCAAACCACACCTAAAAACAGCCGCATCGGGCATAGTGTCTGATGTCATAACCAACATAACCAGACCCTCAACCACTAAGCAGGACGGTAACGGCTTGTATGTGTATACGCCCAAACCATCTAAGACCCCACCCCCAGGGCAGCCGTTGTCTAAAAAGCGTAAAACCACAAAACCTAGCAGGAGAGCCACCAAACGGACACCGTCACGCAGAGTGAAGAGACCCAGAACCACTCGTTCAAAACTGCAGCGCTTGACATATTCTAAATGGCACTGTTACACAGTCATTCTGGAGAATGTGTAAAAACAGAGCTCGATCTTTTTACTGTCCCATACACACAGACTAGCATTGAGAAAAGTACATTTATTGAAATCCCACCGGTATCTGCAATCACTGATGGAGGGCCGATCGAGTTTTACATCTCATCGTCGGGTGAAGATTACCTGGATCTAAATGACTCATATATCTACACACGGGTGAGAATCACAAACGCTGATGGCTCAAACCTGGCTAGGGACGCTAATGTAGG